GGGGGGAGGGACAGAGTGAATGAGGAAACGGAAGTCCCGGCGATAGTTTTAAGAATAGGTTAAGAATATATTAAGTGTAGATTAAGCAATAGAGTAAGAGTAGAATAAGCTAGATTAAGATAGAGTAAGTAAGAATAAGGAGAGAGGAGCTGGAGGGGGTGTGTGTGTGTGTATAGGATCGAGGAGGGTGCGGTATACGAATGAGGGGTAGGAGGAGAAAGATGATGGAGGTTGTAAGGAAAATTGTAACCCGAGAGGGATCAATAAATCTAATATATATATATATATATATATATATATATATATATATATATATTGGTAATAATTGTAATAAGAAAAATAAAACAGAAAGCAGACCCACCAATAATAATAGAACGAAACACGAAACAGCGAAATACAAGAATACGTGCTAAACCAATAATACCCACAATCCCTGCACTAGCACGCAGACACAGCTTATGCGAATAAGATATAAACAATACACGATTGTAATTACATTTATATACGGGAAAACAAATTTGTAACACAAATACAGTATAATAAAATATAACAAGTACAAACGATTATAACCACAATTGTAAACGGAAACAAAGGAAAAAATGTATGTAGAATAAGAATGCGAAAACCTTGCTAGACACTCCGTTTTCTTTTCCCAAGGGGGGAGGGATGTTATAATCGCTAATAGTACCAGCGCTTTCGAAACACTTCTCGAGGAATTGTTTCAATTGCGCCACAACAAGGAAGCGATGTGCAAGTGCTGCGATAAGCACCACCTTGCACATTCCGCATTTAGGACCTCAATTCCAAACGCATGACACCATTACCAAATATGGTAATGTTCTTGTCGCCAGGCACCCCCTCCGACAAGTCTAAAACAATACTATAAAAAAGCGGAGAAACCGCTCGCGTCAGGCTTAACATCTCGGTCTCTCGCCGCGACATACGCGTCATACGTGACTTACGCGCGGTTCGCATATTAACTCATAAGTACGGGAGTTGTAATTAAAACACATACAAGTGTACTATTCAATAAACCTTTTTATAATTAAGATTACAAGATCGTGGTCAAAATCTTTAACTACATTTTATCCACCGCCACACACCTACCGCGCCCGCATCACCGATCTCGAACTCTTTCTTCATGTCCCGGCAACACGGGCACGACAGCTCACATGCCGGTCCGACTCGACGATTTCCATGATTTTATCGACATTTTCGACGATTGGCCTACCAGAGCGTGCCTCATCTTCGACGTCCATATTACCAGAACGGAATCGTTGGAACCACCGCTTTGCTGTTGCATTTGATACTGTAT